CCGGCACCGATCGGCACCGTACCATCCGGTACCGACGGCGTCGGGTTCGGCACCGCCGTGGCCGTCGAGATCGGCGTCGCGATCATCTGAGGCAGTGGAGGCCGGCCACCTGCAGGAGACCGACGACCCTATGCAAGGGCCTGCGCATTGGTCCTTCTGGACTCCTTGGGCCTACCATCAGGCACAAGGAGCTCCGCTATCTGCCTCCCACTCGGGCCGTTCGGAGCCTAGGGCCCCAGAGTCCACCATCTCCCGCCCTCCTCCAAGGGACGTGGAGGCGCCAGCGCCCGCACCAGCAGAGGCCCTGGACCTGGGGGCAGGCGATGCCCAACTCCAGGAACACCTGGAGCAGGACCAACCCTTGGACCCCTTGCCACCGGGGGCATCCTCCTCGTCCTCGCCTGATGAGGCCGTAGCGGGCACATCCGCCATTGGGCCGCCTCCCATAGACCTTCGGGCCCACCAGGACCTGCTGCGCCGCATGGCTCGCAATATGGACCTCCAGGTGGAGGAGATTGCGGAGCTCCACGATCCCATCGTGCAGATCATTTCAGCGGATGCTCCATCCAGGGTGGCATTACCGCTGATCCGCACGATCCAGGCGAACGCCACCACCATCTGGCAGACCCCGGCCTCTATTCCGCCCACGGCCAGAGGGGTTGAGAGGAAGTACTTTGTGCCCTCCAAGGAACATGAGTACTTGTACACTCACCCCCAACCGTGCTCACTGGTGGTTTCATCAGTCAATGCACGGGAGCGCCATGGCCAGCAGGCCGCTGCGCCCAAATCGAAGGACGCTAAGCGCTTCGATTTGTTCGGACGCAAGGTCTATTCGGCTGGCGGACTGCAACTGCGGGCAGCGAACCAGCAGGCGCTCCTGAGCCGCTATGGATTTAATATGTGGTCCTCGATGGGGAAATTTAGAGAGCTGGTTCCCCAGGAATCGAGGGAAGAGTTTGGGGCCTTGGTAGAGGAGGGCAAGCGGGTGGCATGCACCTCTCTGCAGGCGTCCCTTGATATAGCGGACTCGGCCGCTAGGACCCTGGCATCGGGGATAGCAATGCGCCGAATCTCCTGGCTCCAGGTGTCAGGCTTGCCACCTGAACTGCAGCAGACCCTGCAGGATCTACCGTTCGAGGGCCAGGGCCTCTTTTCGGAGAAAACA